CTCCTATAGAAATTTACAAACAAGTAGGGTAATGACTATACATAAAAATTAATCATGTGCATATATGCTATAATTGAGTTGTACAGAATTGCAAACTTTTAGCAGGGTTTATTATTTCTTTTTAATGAAAAGAGTTTGTTTCCATTTGGTTTTTACTCTCCACTCTCCCAAACATTGACAATAGAGATGAAGACAAATCTTGCCTGGGAGATGGTAGAAGGGCCTGAAGATCTGGAGAATCTCAGCACTAACAAGGAGACTTGGACAAGTATGGAAGATGTCTCCTTCTTGTTGGGCTCCCCATAGAATTCAAGTTCCACGGGGATGGATATCATGTCTGCCATATTCACACAACTCTTCCTAGAACCTAGGAAAATGCCTAGAACCTAGCCAAGTGTTCAATTGAAATTAAGTTCATTATTTTTAAACCATTCTGTGGAGTTTTCTTTTGGAAAATCAAACAGGATGAGATAGGGCTGTTTAGTTTCACTGCTTTTTAACCTATTCTGTGGAGTTTTCTTTTGGAAAACCAAACAGGATGAGATAGGGCTGTTTAGTTTCACTGCTGCCCTTTCAATTGTCTAGCCCAGTTGTAGGAGAGGAGGACAAGGTTCTGAAGATCTGGGGCTGGTAGAGAGACCAATGTTTACTTGGATCTGAAGGCACTCTGAAGCCAAGAGGGTGGATGGAGGTGCAGTTGAGATATAGGATCCTAACAGGTTACCTAAACAAAGTAGAGAGCAGGAGCCAGAATATGGATAAAGCAGGGAAGCATGAGAAGAAACCAGTGCAGGCAAAAGGAGGGAGCTCTGGGGAAATGCCTGATACGAGCTGCTGCTGTCTGGGTGATGGGTACACCATCTACAGTAGAGTTAGGGACCAAGTGGGTATTGATAATCACTTTGTAATTCATCTCACATCAGACCTAAATGCATTCTCCAAGAACCATATGGCTTCAAAAGCATCATCTGAAAATTAAGGTGTCTATTAAGGTGACAAAATAAATATACAAAAAATCAATAGCATCCATTGGAATAAACAATTAGAAAATACGTTTTTAAAGATCCAATTCACAATAACAACAAAAGTTTTAAAACTTACAAAAATGTTCAATATCTATTTGAAGAAAACTTTATTAAAAGACCACAATAAATGGAGAGAGATAACATACTACTGATTAAGAAAATTCAATATTTTTAAACTATCGATTTCCTCATGGTAATCTGTAATTTAAACATAATTTTTATCTATATCCAACTGAATATTTTTCATATCTGACAAAATTCTAAAGTTCTTCTAGAAGACAATGTTTAGAAAAGAGCCAAGAAATAATATTAAAAAAAAAAAAAAAAAACAGTGAGTAGGAAATGTAACATACTTTAAATAAATTAAAATACTTTCCTATTGGTACAATAATAAATGGATGAATAAACAAAATACAGAGTTTGGAAGTTGACCACTTTTATACATATAAATTTAATAAATGAGAAATGTGGTGTGTGAATTCAATAGGAAATGATAAATTCTTCGAAAAATTGTATTAAAAGCTAGGGTGAATATTTAGGAAAAATAGAGTCAGAATCTTACCATATGCAAAAGTAATATCTAAACACAAAATTTCATTTAAAATACTGTTTAAAAAGGATATTTTCAAAATATTATAGTGAGGAAGTTCTTCTTAAGCAAAACATATCACTCTAAAGTCAGACAGAAAAAGAATGAGAGATTTGAGTTCATAAATATTTACTTTTGCTTAGTTAAAGAAACCATAATCAAAGTTAAAAGGTGAACTAAAGACTGTAACACAAGCAACGCAGGAAAAAGTATTCAGAAAACAGTTTCTTAAAATCAATATAAAATGCTAAGCAAAATCAATATGAAAAGTTAAAATGAACTAAGTATATGAAAAAGCAATTTACAGAAGAAATATAAATAGCTAGTAAATATTGAAAAAGATGATGAAGTTCACTAATGATCAGGGAAATTAAATAAAAACGGCAAAGTATTTTTCACCTACTTGATTAGCAGAAATTAAATTTATTATTAATAACCAGTTTTAGTGAGAGTATTAGTATAGGAAAGGCTGTACTATTGGTAGAATTTAAATTAGATCCCTCTATGAACTGCAATTTGCAGTCTCTATCAAAAGCTTAAATATATATACCTTAGACACTTAAGTTCTACTTCTCAGAATTTATCCTAAAGAAATACTGAGTATAGAGAAAACTTTTGCCATATGATTTGAAATAATAAATTTTGTGAGACTACTTCATTATGTAACAAATGGTGAATTCTATTTTGGTATTTTCATATTACCAAATGTCACAAAATCATTTTTAAGAGAGATAAGTTTACATATTCTGATAAGCAAAGATGATCATGATAAACTGTTACATAAAGAAAGTTACACATTTAGAATATAAAGTATGATTACATTTTGTTTTAAAAATACTTGGAAACTACTGTGTGTATATGTGTGCATTTGAATCAAAGCATTAATAAAAAGCAAATAATTAGGAAAACAAGCATCGACAACGTGGCTCTGAGTCCCAACGCTTTACACAATTAAATACTTTTTTAGCCACTGAACTATTCTTCAAATTAAATCTTACGCAAAAACTCAAAAAGCAGAAGACAAAAGAAAGCAGAGTTTCTATTATTGAACCAAACACTCTGCTCCCCACAACAGCTCTAAAGTTCCTCTGAAGAATAGCAAGGGTTCCTTGAAACAGGGTTTAAAAACCACTGTTTTACTAATGTCGGTGTGCACTAGCAAATTCTTTATCATTTCATTGTTCTCCACTACTCCCAGTAAATACAATAGAATGACACCATACACATATAATAATATATTAGTATTTAATAAAAACAACAAAACAAAGAAAGGAGAGAGAGAAACCACATGACAATGCCATTTGATTCTGTCCTACACTCCACTCAGGAGTCAGGGTCCTGAGCAGAGTGAGCATGAAGGATAAAAGATTAAAATGCTGTTGGTTGGTTATTCAGTCTTGGTTTCCAAGGGCTTTCATGGTGTAAGTACCTTGCTATGATGAATATAATTCTAGTATTTAAACACCCGTTCTTTGCCAATTGAATTCCAGGAGCATATCCCATTGCTGGAGAAAATTATGACTGAGATGGATTCATTGAAAGGTGAAAATGTCAGTCTTCGGCTATTTGTTTCATAGGAAATTTTCAAGAGAAAATTTAACCATACAAATTTTTGCCTTTCTCACTGACTTGGGAACCTTCCTAATTCTTATGGAACATGCAACCTCAACTGTACCAAAGGTGAAAGTTTAAAGACATTCGAGAATCAAAGTGGTGAGTTAATCTGAACTAACTCAGGAGCAGCAGCCTTCACAAAGACAAAGGCTATATCAGAGCAGAAACTCAACGTTCAATTAACAATCCAACAGAACAAATTGGGAAAGATGATAGACAAGCTGTGATAAAGTCGAAGGCAGTCAGAGGAAGTCTATTCAGGGAGTTTAGCACACAGAAAACAATATAGTGTCTATCAAGAATGTGTCATCAAGTTAGGTCACTGCTGGTAGTTGGCCAACAGGTATGTCTAAAGACAGACACATGGTGATAGGTCCAGAATCAGAAAATATGCAGAGATTCCAGCAAGCAACTGGCCTCAGAGATTTCTAGTACTAAGAGGGTCCAGGCACAGGATTGAAATTCAGGGCAGGTATTTAGCAAAAATTGACACAGAAAAACAGTCACAGTCTCGGCAGGACAAAGTAATCAGCAGGCCACCCAGTTGGACTGTAGCAATAAGTCAGGAAATAACCAAGGGTTATTTCCCCTACTAGGACACTCAGCAATGTCTAGAGACACTCTGGTTGTCATACCTTGGAAGAGTACTACAGACATCCTCGTGGTCAGAGGCTGGGGATGCTGCTAAACATCCTACAGTGGACAGAACAGCCCCACAAGACAAAGGATTATACAGCCCAAAGTAATGCCACTGCTGAGAAATCTTGGTATAGAGAATAACATAGAAACACAGTTATAGAAACTATGACACAAGTCAGGGAATGGGAGTTAATTACACAAACAAGGCATAAATGTGAAAATGAAGCAAGAGCAATATAGTGAGGTTGAGTTGGAACTGAGTCACCTGAGCTACTCTTAAACTAGGTTCTTTTATTTCCTCCTAATTAAGGACCATGTATGTCTTAGGAACTTGAGTAAAAGATACTTTAGAAGTAGATATGTGCTCAAACACTTACTAGCCAAGGAACATTGGGCAATTTATTTAATCTCTACACCTCAATTTCCTTTTCTGCAAAATAGGAATAATAATAGCATCTGCACTTAGAATTGCTACAATAGTAAAAAAGAATAATGCATGATAAGTGTTTCTAACACTGCGGGTAGCTCATATGACATGGTTGATAATTAATAATTATAGATGGGTATCGAATAGCCGGGGCTGGGATGGGAGATGTTTTTAAATAGAAGAGAGAAAAAGAAGTGAAGCAGTGCATTACTAGCCCAATCCACCCCAAAATTATCTGGTAGAGAGTTTTCAGAAAAAAAATCAGGAATTAAATTTACTTAAAGCCAGAATTTAATCATAGGTTAGTGAAAACTAAAAAGCAAGAATATTAGAAGGAAATTTCTCTGACATACTTGTTTCAAGTGTTTCAATCTTTAAACTTCTATGAGAAGTCGAAGTCTCTTTTTTTTTAGAGTGATTAATTATAATATTCTATTCTCAATCCTTTATTGTGAAACGTTATGGGCCCGATATTTTCTCTTACTAAATCAAAGATATTCCGGAATATAGTCAATCTCTCTTCTTCTCAAGACATTAAAATACAATGCTAGACTATGAGCTTAAGCATCTAATACAGATAAATGAAGGGCTCTGACAAAAAAAAAAAAAAAAAGGCCTGCTTGTCCTATTCTAATGCATGATTAATTTTCAGGAATTTACATAATAATAAGAAACAAAAAAGAAAACAAAATGAGAGGAAGTGGAAGTTATTATATTGTACGTTTGTTCCTAAAAGTAGCTCGGCTGGGGTTTCCAACCCCTCCTAAATCCCCAGACAGATTAAAGGAAACCACCAACATGTGATGAAACCTCAACATCATAAAGATACCTGGAGGGAAAAAGTCACATCAAGGTCTGGCTCCTTGAATCCCATCTAAAGTAGGAGACTGAGCAAAATTCCAAAAGGCCTCTTCTGTAAAATGTTTTGCCTCTGAAGCTCTCCTTCAGCATGGACCCCAAAGACAGCATTTAGAAGGCTCCCGAGTGGTGTCTCCTGAGATTAAAAAAAATGAATATTGCCAATCACCAAAGATGGAAGTATTTATATATTGGAATAGACGGGCATTGGAAAAAATACAAATTCACCCAACTGGCATATAATTGGGTGATACGGCCCTGGTGTTGCCCAGTTGGGGTAACACCAGGGCCGTATCTATGCATCATCGTTACCTTACCAGGTGATACGGCCCTGGTGTTGCCCAACTGGCATATAATTGGGTGAATTATATGCCAGTTGGGCAACACCAGGGCCGTATCTATGCATCATCGTTACCTTACCAGGTGATACGGCCCTGGTGTTGCCCAGTTGGGGCAACACCAGGGCCGTATCTATGCATCATCGTTACCTTATGAGCTTAGCTGATTCAGGTGTCCAATCTGATTTCTTGAGGTGTTAAGGGTGAGAGAAAGGCCACAAGCTCCTTGGCTTACTAATTATTTTCCAGAAAAAGAAATGGGTATAATGTTGGATGACATCTTTAATAAAAACAACTAATATTTGTAGCTTTACCACCTGCTTTCATATATATTATTTCATTTGAGCTCAATGTGCCCGTTTTATAACTTTCAGGAAACTAAGGCTCAGAGTAGTTAAGTGACTCACTCAACATCACCCAGCTAGGAAATAATAAAACAAGACTCACACCCAGATACAACTGATTTCACATCCCATTCTTGTGATTCCATACATCATGCTACTTCCTAGCACCTTCTCCAGTCAAGCAATAAAAAAGAGAGAGAGAAAAGAGGTCTATCTCACCTGAGAGGCTGCCCCCCATCCTTTCTACCATACTTGCAGGAAGAAGAAATTTCCCAGCTTTCCATTTATTATCATCACCATGGAAGAGCTTTACAATGTAATCCAGTGATCTTCCTTTATATTCTCCCCACTCTTTCTCGTACACATAGCAAATGCTGCTTTCTGAGGGTTACTATTAAATTATTTTCTATCACTATGTCTTACCTATTTCATAATGCTATACTCCAAAATTAAACTACTTATGTCCCTTTATTATTATTAATCTTTATCTCTAAACTTAGATCAAATCGAGAAAGGAACATTTTGAATTGTGTCCATGTAGTAATTTTATTTTAAAAAATGACTCTTTAATATTTATTTACATATATGTGAAAGAATTCAATTTGGAGCAGTGTGTGTGTGTGTGTGTAGAGAGAGAGAGGCAATTCAAGCTACTTTCAAGATACAAAAAGACTTCAGACTACAACTATAAATTCCAAAGTTCAAAGTGAAAAATCAGTTGTTTTTAATCAGAGTGGTAATGACAAAACTTTGACATGCCAAATATCGCAGACAATTGTTTAAGAATTTACCGTTACAGTGTATATTTATTTAGAATATTTTTTTAATTTAAAGTTATATTTAAATCTTTAAAGTATGTTCTAAATTTCCTCGGGTGCTAAATTATGATATAAATATGTACAATTACAAGCAATAGTAGAGCCACAGATTGTAATTATTACTGGTAATGACAGCTTCATAATCTTTGACATAATAATTTTTGTAACTTCTATGGTAATATTTATGTTCAAAACATTAGCTAATTAATGCTTTAAAAAAATCATCACAAACCATATGAACAAACAAATTAGTCTGCTCTATTGACATTTTATATATTTTCCATTAACTGATTAACGTCTATTTACAAAACTTGAATAACAACTGAGAAATCATCCAACATAAATGTAAAATCCAAAGATTTTTTTTTTGGCTTTAGGAAGACAACCTCTTTGTTTATTATTCTTTGCTTAAATTGCCTCTTATTTGTGGAGTGTGCTATCCAGACCCATTCTTCATCCTCCTGATTCTCTGGGCTTACATTATATAAGGAAAGAGTCATCAGCCTTCAATAGCCAAAGTAATAGGTGAATTGCCTTAGCCACATGGGACATTAGCTAGTAGTCCAACTACTCTCAAACCCACATCCCCACAAAATGTGCGTTGCGGGTTAAGAGGAATAAGAAGCCTTTCTATCATATCTTGATAAATTCAAAATGCCTCTCCCACTTTCTCCTTTCTTCTTTATTTGTAGGAATATAATAATTATTATTTATTAAGCACTTATTATCTACCAAACTGTGCTAAAGGCTCAATGTATATTTTAGCTCATTTCATAATTATAAAAACCATGTGAGGTAGGTATTATCAAGATCTTTATCCTTATTATGATATCATCATCATTATTAAATAAATAAATAAATAAATACAATTAAAAACATTGAGGGTCAAGAGTTTAATTAACTTGCAAAAGATGAGACAGAGCAAGGGAAAAAGCCAGTTCCACCTGATTACACAGCCCACTATCCCAACCAGTACACCAATTGTTCTCAAACTTTGGCAGGCCTCTGAACCACAGATAAAATCACAGATTCCTGGACCTTACCTTGCAGTTTTGATTCAGGAGGTCTGGGGAGGATCTCCAGAATTTTCATTTCTAATAAGTTCCCGGGTGATGCAGATGCTGCTCAAGAACAACACTTTGAGAACCACCGCAATACACTAACTTTTGCTAAAAAAAATTGATCCTTCCATAGATGGTCCTGTCAAATAAATAATTTGAAATAGGAATGTTTATTTGTTTTGGTGGATATTAGCCAATATTCTTCCATGGCAGGAGGGAGAGAACAGGTGCTGGTATTCAAATAGGCATGTTTTATCGCAAAAAAAAAAATACCAGTTTTATGTAAGAGGTTTTTATTTTATTTTTTTATTTTGATTTTTTTAGAGAGCCTCCCGTCCTCATTTATCATATCCATAGGGGAGACATTCCCCCAAATTCATGTCATTCTTATTCTTTCTCGAAGACTCTTTAGCTACTTCTTTACTCTCCTGAAGATGAGAACATTACCACCGATGTATTCATTTTCTGAATCCTACCTTTGGAACTCCCCAGTCCAGGTCCATCGCTGAGGCTGCACAGCTTATACACAAAAGTAGCAACAACAAAGATGCTGCCACCCTCTCACAAACCTGCAATGGCTTTTCCCTGTCAGTTAACATGAGTTTGCTCTTCATTCCATAGGTTTGAGAATTGAGCTCATGATTTATTTCTATGATAAATTTGCTTATGCTAAAAAATATGCCAAGTCAAAGCCTGGAACAAGATTTTATGGGCCAAGTAGTAAACTCCATAAAATCAGGGTTTAAAATGGAAAATGTTATTCAGACTAATTATGGGTCATGCAATTGGGCATTACTATAGCAAGCTTTGCTTAAATGTTATCCCAAATGAGGACATCAGAAGAACATATGTGCCACAGACACAGCCCAAATTCTTGGTCAGCAATGGAACAAACCTGCAGTGGCAAAGGGGTGTGACTGCCACTGACATCCCTGTGGCAATTTCCTCATTAGACAGCCATGTGGTGAGCCTTCTCAAGCTGTAGACAAAGGACAAAGGATAATGGTCTTTAGTTTTTAAAGTGTGGCACAGAGGACAGGAAGAATGGGAAAAAGCAATTCCTAAATAAAGGAAAAAGTCTGGGGGGAAATCTTTTCAAAACCCATTTTGAATAAAAATAAATTTGCTATGCATTCAAGAGCTGAAAAGACTTAATTTCTGAGATATAAACAAATTAAATGTATGAAAACTGTTTACTATAATGGGTACAATTGATATAATTGTAATGATGGGCTATTATTTTGCTCAGCTTCATTTCAATTGAAATAAAAGCTTCATGAACAAATCTTAAAGTCCAAGATAACTGATTACTTTATATTCTGAGAGATGAAATGAGTTCTAAATTTAAAGTGTTCTTTTCTTTGCTCAAAATGTATGAATGAGGTCTTTGCTGATAATTCTTGATATTCATAAAAATCAGTCTATATTTCCTAAGTAAACTTATTTTCATTTTATGGTACTATTAAAAGGCTGAATTGAACCTGGAAGAAGGAAAAAATGCTTTAACAGCCAAGGTAAAATCATGATGTTCAAAGTATATAATATTTCACTCACCAAGTATATATTATCCAACTTTATTTTTTTCTATATCTATTTTTTAAAAAGAAATACTATGGACCTCAATCTTCATCTTTCATTGCATACTTTAATAACATAAAAAATACCAAACAAAATGAAATTAATATGTACTTGAAAAAATGAAATTAAAGTTATATAAAATATAATATTATATATTATATGATTATCATATAATATATATTAAGCATATATTTTATATATATACTTAATAGAAAATAGGAACAGCATCCAGAAACACAGCACAATCTAGCACCAACTCAAAATGTTGCTGATAAGACATTTAGCATTTCGCTAGAGTGTTGGTTTGCAACCTCAGGAGCTTACCTTGTGAAATCTGAAACTGGCCTCCATACATGCAGGACAAGGAGAGACAGAAGAAAATGGGAGACTATTACAGATTTGTGACTTCCATACCTTTGTGTTAGGAGTCAGATGCCAGGGCACTTCACTGTCAATCACTACAACAACCTCTCCTTGGTTCTTCTCAATTTCTCAGAGATTCCACCTCTTAGCATCCTAGCGAGGCTTTGGGATAAGCCCTCAGACCCTAATCCTCTGCAGTTGTGCCCTCCTAGCTTTATAAGACAGCACACTAAGTTCTCCAATGTACCATCCTGCTCTTCCACCTTGTCTACTAGGCCCGAAGCTAGCTGAGTAGTGGACAACTGCATGTTTTTCTCTAATCTCAGCTCTTCTTCCAACTTTCTAACTCAAGTTTCAGCCTCTAGGTGAGTATGGGTGGCCAGCCAACTGACAACAGTAGACGCTAGCCCACTGCAGCAGTCATTCTTTTCTCTTTGCTATATTGCGCTATGTGCAGTTCCTCAAACTTTTCCCATTTTCCCATTTAGAAAAGAAAAGTACAGCTCACTGCCAGCATTCATTTAACATCAGGCGTAGGAATGCTATGTTTTCTAGAATTTGACATTTTCAGTCATTCAACTACTAAAAACTGAATGCTATAAATAGAATGATGTCATTTATTTCCAAAGACTATCAATATAGTAGAGCAATGCGAAAATAATAATAAAAGCGAAATATTTCATGGCAAACTTTGGGGGTAAAGTTAGGGCTGTCATCCATGAGTTACCTTGGGATAAACACTGTAGCTGCAACTGCCACTAGTGAGTATCCTCAAGGCAAAGAGGAAAAGGGTTAAAGCAGCTGGTGTTTTGGGGACGTCCCTGTACTTACATCACCCATAAATTCCTAACATACGGGCTACCTCTCCCCACATAGAGGACAAAGACCAACTTGGGAATTCCCCAGCAGGTGTCTCTTTCCTAAGACCTATTACTACGATCTCCAAGCTGGCTTGCCAATTGTTGGTGAAGTCTGAAACTGGCCCCCTATACACAGAGGGCAAGGAGAAACTGAAGGAAAAGGCACACTCCAGATTGGTAGGTGGCAGCTTTACTAAGCAAGGGAACTTAAGAGGCTTCTCTTGGGTGACACGCAAGATGAGCAGATTACTTTCTGTGCTCACCAGAATCTTACAAGTTTATACAGGGGCCTGAACTGGGTTCTATCACATACACCATCCAGATGGTCTCAAAAACACCTTCCTCTATTACTCAGCCATAAGAAGAGATGAAATACTGCCATTTGCAACAACATGGATGGACCTTGAAATAATCATATTAAGCGAAATAAGCCAGACAAAAAAAGGTCGAAAATCACATGATATCACTATATGTGGGATATAAACCTAAAAGCAACAAATGAAGAGGACAAACAGAGACTCATGGACATGGACAATGGATTAGTGGTTATCAAAGAGGAGGGGGAAAATAATAAAAAAAATAAAATGTTAAAAAAATTAAAAATGAAAAAATAAACACCTTCCCCTCTCAAAGTTACGTCTTTGAAAAGGCTTCACTATGGAAATGGTGGGCGGAAGTACATTCCAAAGACAGGGGGGAAGGTAAGGATACTCCAATTGCCGAGGCCCAGCTTGAGGGTCAATCAGCAGTCATGTCCTCTCAATAACCTCCTCCAACATAGAGTCTAAACTTGAACTTTAAAAAAATTAATTCTGATCCCATTAATTTTGTAAAAGCAAATTAACCTTTTGAGGGAAGAGATCTATTTTTTCATTTTTATATAAAGATATTGATAAGATAAAGGAAAGTACTATCAAAATGTAAGAAGTCTATGAGCTGGGAGAATTGTTGTCACATCAATCTTATACCTGAGAGCACTAGATATGCCACAAATCTATTTTTTTAAATAAATAAGTGTGATCACTACTAGGTGTCAGGTATTATGCAAGATGAATAATAAACAGTCCTTACCCTTAAGAAATGTACAGTCTAGTAAAGGGTTAGAGTGACATACACAAATAGAAGACATGAAGTGATAGAAGTCTACTCTCATATTCCTTGCTGCCTAATATAGCCACTTATTTAGAGTTACTTGAAGACCAAAGTCATCTTATACTGTAGGAATAGACCATGACCTGGACCCTGGCTAAGCCAGATTTTGCTTCAGTATTTGGTTCATCCAATAATACCCTGATCAATTGAGGCTTGACTGACTTTTTTTTTTTTATCTACCTAGATTTCAGATTGTGTACCTGCCTTCTCGTATGGATTGTCCCCAACCCTCTGGAAAGATCATCTGAGTTCTCAACCCCATGGTTCAGATGAGTAACTGACTTTCCTAAACCAGTCATCTGCCTAGTAAGCCCCTTTCTCCAGCACCACCCACAAGCTTAGCATAACTAGCACATTTTAGAGTTAAAAACACATGCAGCCATAGCGAAAGTTATTCTCAGTTCATGAAAATCAGGCTAATTCTGATACCATCTATTAGAAGTTTGAAGACAGAAACAGTACCCACAGACAAATGAAGCAGCAGATTAACCAAATACATACATTGAATGTGTACAGCAAAAGTTGCTGAGAAGACCACCTGTATCCAAAGACTACCTTCCGAAATAGCTAAGGGCACTGAGCTTGTAGTTTATTTCCCATTAGAGTAACGTGTTTTGACCCTGCCTTAAGAGACCACCTGCCTAACATGAATGCAGACCATTTACTCAGTGCATTAGACTATTAGAGAAAAAAAAAAACTTTTGAGAAATGGAGTTAAACAAAATGCATTGCCTAGCCAGCTCCAGCTTCATATATGCCTGTCTACACAAGCAATGCTTTTCTTAAAATCACCCCACATGAGGTTTTAAGCTTCCCTACTGAGTTCTCAGACCCCTGAGAACGGAAACAACAGGCTTCCAGCTGTTCCACAAGGTGAACTGATGCCCAGCAATGGCCATACTTAATGGTTAATGATTCATAGAGAGACTATGGCCAATCTTGTTGCTGGTTTCCTGGGGTCAATTATGGGGACTCCATTCCACACAAGATCACCCAGAAAAATCCTTGGGCTAATTTTGGTGATATTCAGGGTCATCTACATCGACTTTAGTATAATTATAGGTTATTTAAGTTCCAAAGACTCATTCCACATGTGTTAAAAGCATAAACTATAGGGAGCATTGTTAAACTGAAGACCACCTGCCAGAAAGACCACTTAATTTTAGAACCCGGGGTGGTCTCCATATGCAGATTTCATAGTTTTACATTATGAGTAACAAAAGGTTAAATACATTGTGCCAGGTGGTAAGTGAAGAGTTAGCTTGTTGAGTAAAAGTAGAGTCAAGAAGAAAATTATGGCCTTTCACAGAATTATTTAGAAAAGAAACTTCAACTAATGTATAACAGCAAAAGAGAGCAGAAAACAAGCCTGTCTATGATCAGAAATCAGAGTTGCTGTTGAGCTAAATGGGTGGTGGGGCAGTAAAAGTACTAGAGCAATAAGTATGGCAGGACTTCCATATTCAAAGGCTACTGATTGAAGAGTTGAGAACAACTGCTGCCCAGTAATGCTTTTGACAATTCTTGCAGGCACTAGCAGCCAATGGAATGCCACAGAAATGCACAGGTAAATACTTAACAGGTTGTAACCCTTAAAGACAAAGTTAAATATGGCTGTGAATACATACACACAACCACAAGCCATTACAAATAAAGTAAAATTAATAACAAGCAAATGGAGAGGGGGCTATCTGCTGGTGGTCCCCTAGAATCTGGAATGTGTGTACCCATGAAAAAAAGGAATTTCACTACGTCTTTAACAAGGCTGCTTTTTCTGGTTTCTTTCTCCAGTTATCAAAGCTTACATAAAACTTCCACCAAAGGAATTAAAGAAATAATTCCTGCCAGGCTGCCAGCAAAGAAGGAGCAGAATTTTCCATTACAGGTTGCTAGAAGGTATGTTTATCATTGCTCCTTTATGCATGCTGCATGTGGGCTCTGTAATGAGCATATGGTAAAAAACAAAAATTTCATCATGGCTGAGATATCATACTAGCTTGGCCCAACACATTAGATTTTATAGCTG